GTATACTATGTTGAGAAAGTCCAGGGGCTGATGTGTCAGATTATACAGTTTCTCTGTGAAGGTTTTACTCCTTTCCGCAACGTGGTGATTGGTCCAATGACTCGTCAGTCGACGGGCTCGGCTCCTAGTTTCAAAATCCGCTTGCTTTAGTGATTTAGCCGTAGTATGCTCGCCAGACATGTAGGAGGTTCAAGTTTGATTCCTGGCCGACTCTATTCTAATAATAATAATATTAATTTACTTTATTCCAAAAACAGTACTTATAATACAGAATGGAATTCTCAACATTTGTCACAATACTTTGCATCTGATTTACTCAAAATATAAATAAAATTTAAAATTAAAACAAAAGTAACTAAAGGAATTTGTCCACGTTTACGATATAAAGTCGAAAATATTCCAAGTACGAATTCAGAATATTAAATATAATAATAACAATAAGTTTATTTCAAACAGCACTGGCGATTCAGTTTGGAAATTTTAGCATGTTATCGATTATTGAATCTGATGTTCTGTTGATATAGTATAGTGAGGGGAAATACAAGATTAACAGTGGTAACACAGCTTAAACGATGTTCACACTTATAAAAATAAATGAAAACAAAAAATTGAGAGGATTATAAATATAAGAAATACAATAACAATAAACTTTGGCACTGCAAGTTCGGAAGAAATGGTTTATTTAGTAGTGCAAAGAAGGTTAGTTAGTTCATGCCTGACACTATTTTCATCACATAAAGTACGTGCTTAACATGGCATAGTGGAATTTTTATACTTAGACGTACGTGCATAAAGTCTTTTGAAAAGACTTCTTGTTTTACCTGAAGAGACACAAGGCTGGAGCTGCGGGTAGAGTGGGTCCTCAGAGTTTGACAAAATCCCTTCAGCAAATTTGTTACATGACATCAAGTGCCCATCCGTGACAAAGTCAACAATATAGCCCAATGGGATACCAATCGCCCTACTGACAGTCTTCAGAGTTCTACGAAGTATGACATAGTATTTTCTAAGCAATTTGCGAAAGAATAATGGGGAACAGTGAAGAAGAATAGGTAAGATGCACGGGTTGACAAATTGTAGGAGGAGTGGTTCGGTTATACTTGAGTGCCCTAACCTCCTAATGTAAAAAGTCAGACGAAATATTCTTTTAGAAATCACTAAGACATGGGAAGACCAGGATAGGTCAAAAGAAAGAACTAAACCAAGATACTTCACTTCAGACTTGATTTCTATATCAGTATCATTAATTTTGCAGAGGTCATAGGAACCAACAGCTTCATTTAACTTTCTTTTACATCGGAAACTTAAATTAACAGTCTGGCATTTGGAAGGATTTAGTTTAAGGCTGTTACACGAAGACCATTTGCTAATTCCTGATAGAAAGCTGTTCATCTTAGCACATTCAAGCTGGGAGTGAACTGACATTGAAATAGTTAGATCGTCTGAATACTTAACAAACCTCATTTCATCAGAGTGAGGCAAATCATGTAAGAAGAAGGAAAACAGAAAAGGAGAAAGGAAAGCGGCATGAGGGACGCCAGCCTCAGTAAGCAACGAAGTGGACGACTTCCTCTGACATACAATGTACTGCTTTCTTCCTGAGAAATAAGAATGCAGCCATTTGACAACCCAAAAGTCAGTCTGAGTTTCAGCAAGCTTGTTTAACAAAATGTCCCTACGTACTGAGTTGAAAGCAGATATGTAATCTAGGAAGGTACAGCGAACAAGTTTAGCCCCTTTGTGTAAGCTGGAGACAATGTTATGGTACAAAACTGCAACTGCATCTAAAGTACTTCTGTTGTGTTTATAAGCGAATTGTTTGGGATCATTAAAGGCTTTAATTGAAGGTTGAAGATTAAGTAGGTGTAACTTTTCCATAGCTTTTAGAAAAGGAGACGTAATGGCAATAGGTCTTAATTTAAAACATATTCCAGTAGACGACTTAGGGATAGGTACAATTTTAATGTCCTTCCAAACGGCTAGCAGGACATTTATGGAAAAAGATTTGTTAAATATGTACATGAGAGGATAACACAGGATGTCTACTCATTTTTTAAGAATAACACTAGGCAAACCGTCTGGGCCTAGGCTACAAGAAAGGTGCAGAGACTGGAGACATTTTTGAACATCATTTGTATTGAAACCAGGGAAGCAGGTTTCATTAACACTTGTAACACTAAAAAGTCTGGCATTTGTGGGAGAATATATGAAAGACTCGTTTAATGTGCAAACATCAAAGGAATAAGGAATACTGTTCATCTGCTTACAACCAGTAATTTTTTTGAAAAGTTTCCATATATTAGACGCATTTTTACAGGATATAAACTTCTGATTGTAAATTGAATTCAATCTCTGCATTTCAGATTTTATTAGGATGTTAATTCTTTTCAAACCAGTGTTATCCTTCATTTTATATAACTTTTCTTTTTATCTTCGAAGCTTTTAGATTGAGGGGAGGAGAAACGGTAAACTCTGATGAAGAGCGTTTCTCTGAGACAACAGGTGTCAAGACAAAATTTGAGATAACTTGTAATATTAGAGATTGTGTCATCAAGAGAGTCTTCATTAAATAGGTCCCACCTTGTGTCTTTGAGAATGCTCCTAAGATTCTGAACATTCTCCGAAGAGTAACATCCATGTACAGTTTTCTTGGAAAGGTGTGAATAAGTTATCTTGTGTAACTTTCCATAAATTCTGAGTAAAATCCTTACAGTACAATGATCTGAGTTAAAGAGTGTGGCTCTTTTACGAGCTTCGTAAATTCCACGGTCATTTATAAATACAAGATCAAGGGGATTATCCAGTCTTGTGGGAAAGTTGACGACATTTTCATGATCAAGCACTGTGAGAAAGCTGTAATCACATGAATTAAAATCGCCTGTCACTATGGACAATGAGTTCTCAAAAGAGGCGGTAGTAAAAATAGTGAGTTCATCAGCAAACATAGACAGTTCTGAAGTGCTACAGCAAGGTGTGACATAAATGTTTGTGACATAATTGAATTTGTATTTAGATAGGTGTTTAGGTAGACATTTGACAGTTAAACATTCAATATTATCATTTGAGAATTTAAAACAGACGTTGTAGGCAACAGACCACTGGGAATCGACAAAAGTAGCAACACCACCATCTCACTTCTTCCTTGAACTACTTCGGTCTTGTCTTTACATATTGAAACCATTCAGGGAGATTAAATTGTCATCGTATGAATTGTGGAGCCAAGTTTCGTGAAGCTTTATTACATCTGTAATACGATAAATATTTGAGCATAATAGAGCATCCAAGTAATTAATCTTCTTCGATAATGACCTGGAATTTGTGCTCATAATCACAGGAATAATCATCTGATGCATTGGAGTACACTTTAAGGATCTTTGCCACCCACCATGATGCTTTTTCTTAAGGTTATTATATACTCGTAAATCATCAGGTTAAAAAGATTTAAAATAATCGCGAGAGTAAGTAATACGATTTGGACACATAATTGAATAATTAAAACAAAATAAATCCAAGTAATCAGATGCAATATAAGTGACAAAACATTTTGGTAGCCCAAGGTTTAAGCAGGCTGCCGTATTGCCAATTTACCAGTTTATGATTGATCTAGAAGAAGATAAAAACGTTGAGTGTGTGTCTAGCAACTCCATCCACTCAAACAAAGCCATCACTTCTAAAACATCGAAGTTTGAACTAAACCAAGAATAAAACATGTAACTATAGAAAAGTATCATATTGATAGGGAGGTTACAAGTGTAAATAAAATAATATTTACAGTTATCCGTTGTCCCCGGTAGAGAACTACTCTAGGTTGGCGCTGAGGACCATGGCAGGAAGAGGCACTGAACAAACTTTTCCTGAATACAGAGACTGGATTGAAAAATGATTATGTCAACTGTCTCAGGTATACTTAGCAATCTAAGGTGTACAAACTTGGAAAATCAAAGTAGCATCTTGGATAGAATGAGTGGTAAGGGCTGACTTTATATCAATCTTGTGATACACCATACCCACAAGATATCCCAATATTGAACTCCTGATTGAATTTATGACTCCTTTGTCTGAATGCTTTGGAAACTGCTAAAGAAGGCAACGGGGGCCTTTCAAAGTCGTTCTACCTATGTGACTTTCTCCATAAAAACAGTTATATTTATGAATGCATAGTGAAGTGACCAGACTCATTAGCTCATCCTTCGCCTGCATTGGTGTTTTGAAAAGAAAACGCTTGATGGTATATGAGCTCGCCTTGTAAACGGAAGGTCCTGGGTTCGAATCCCGGTGGGTGCTTACTGCAGATGATTCCCAAACTAGGATGAAACAGCTGTCCAGTACTCTCAGGTTTTCCAATGGTTCTCTAACTAATTTCAGCTCATGATGAAATCCTGAAACCAACCAAATCCCTATAAACCAACACTTAAAAACGCTCATTAGTTGTTGACTGATGAGAGATCGACCGCTTGATGATGTTTCGGTCACAATTTTTGCTAATAATCATTTAAAGGTTTTCATTCACACCACTTGATAACTTACTCCATATAGCCTTAATCCCTGCTGTTTTCTATTGAGAGATCAGTTACCGAATCTTATTTAGCTGACTCAACACTAGACAAATGCAACCGAAATGATGTAACACATATACCAGATATATGGAGAACTGTAATAAAAGCAGTGGGAAGGATAGCTATATTGATCAAGTTAGCGAGTTGTGTGAATGAATAAAGTAGTTTGATTATGAGCAATAAATTGTTCTCCAAATTTCATCCAGTTATCAATACCGCGTGTTGTGTCAAATAAACTTACTTAGTATGAGATTACATTTAATCAAAAGGCGTAAACCCTACATTTTAATTGTGATCACGTCTGAGAACTGGTTTAGAGGGCTTAATAAAAATTGGGTGCTTGACAAATGCTAATTTTTGAAACCCCACTATAAATCGAAATCTTTTTCAATCTTATAAACGCTAAATAACGTCCCTTGTATTCTGTTTTATTCACCCGAACAGGTGTGCAATGAAATTAAACGCGAGTAGTGTAAATACCCACCCAACACCAACATCTCATCTACGAAATCATTCCGATATTTGTACAAAATCAAATGAAATGTTTCAGGACAATTGTGTAACAGAAAAACTCTATCAAATCTCCCCATCTGCAGTCATGATGATGAAAGGAATGGCAACAACATCATCAACAAAAACGACAACACCAACAACAACAGCCTCAACACCTATGGTGTCAAGTATATCATCAAAATACGAGCAACATGTTTATGTGCACAATTGGAGTCAACCGGAGAAATCCCAGTACTCAGATTTTCAAAAAACAAATTATTTGTTGAATAGAAATAGTAATAATTATCCTCGTCAACATCATCAGCAACAGTCTTATCATTACAAAAATAATGAAATAACCTTTATCTTTGAAAATAGTAAATCTATGACTTACACAGAGGTAATAAAGTCAGGTTTTGGTGATTGGGCGAATCAAATCCATGAGACCGGAATTCAGCTAAGAGCTCTAGTTCAAGATGATTACAATGCAATCTGGGGTTTAGCTGCATTAATACTAGTTAATTATAAGTCGATAAACTGTAAGTGGTATTATTTATTTTCTTTATTATATAATGTCGTTTCTCCCTTATTACTTACTACCCCTTGATAATCAGTTAAACTACATGCCACCTAAATACTTATTGTGTTTTAAAAGTACTTAGTATTATTATTCAATCCATCAGTTCCTCTCCCCTTGACATTCTAGATGTCACCTCAATTGATGTTCCGCTTCCATTGTTTTCTGCATATATGTTGAGCAGTAGTCGCTGGCTGGTTCTATGCATCTTCAGACTTCTTCCCAATTTACTGATCCTTATTGGTCGGTCATCCGTTCTTCATTATCTAGCAAAGACAAATATCTGTTGGTGAAAGTCTTCAATAGGCTGCTGGAAATGCTACAGAATGAGGTTGATAACAATTTGGAGCACTGCACGCCGTAGTCTTGAAGTAGTTTTCAAATTACTTTCCGGTCAACACTCTCGAAGGCCCTTTCGAAGTCGATGAATTCAAGGTACAGGTTTAAGCACTATTCTGTGCTTTTTTCGACGATGATTTATAAAGCTGCAATTTGATCAGGATATGATTTGCCTTTCCTAAATCCAGCTTGTTCCGGTGGATAGTGTAATTCTGCATTTAGTGAATCTCTTATTCTCCCTGCGACCATGTAATGCACTTTACTATCCGGACAAGCCTATCAAAAGACTTGAATAAGGCAGATAATATATTTTCGTGACATTTTCTGAAGGTGTTCATATCTCTCAGATCTATAAAATTGTTCTTTATTCATAAGCCTGTGGCTTGCATCAATATGTCATTCATTATTATTGTTGTCATTATTCGTACTTCGCGTTCCATGTGGAACATAGGGCTTTAGCGTCACTTCTCTATCTCATTCAATTCTTTGGTAACAACTTCAAGTATCAGCATAATTGCTAGCAACCTTTCAGTTTCTCTACACATTAGTTAGTTAGTTAGTTAGTTTCCTGAACAATTCATCTGTTTGTAGATCATTTTAAGAAAAATGCTTTCGAGGAAAAATGTCTGGCAGCCTATGAATGAGCGAATTTGTGAATGATACTGCCCTTGAATTGAATACAGAAGTAAGGACAAGGCTGTCTGCCTATCATCACCGATATTCTTAATTGTGATAGACTAGAATATGAATCAGACTGTAGGGAGCAAAAAGACATGAATGCTCTGGACACCCGATAAGAAGACTTCAGAAGATCTAGATTTTGAAAATTACATATGCCTTGTGCCACACAAACTCGAAGACTTACAGGCGAAAACCAACACCTTGAAGAGGCCGTTGAATGACATAGCGAGTCATGTCCTCTAGTGAAATCTCAACGGGAAGAGAGGAGTAGGCCATCTGTGCGAGGGTGGCATGGAGGAGGTCGTGTAATAGGAAGGAGATTAGAGAACATGGTCATTCGTGGGCCCAGGTGAGGAGGACCGCAGAGAATAGAAGAAAATGGAGATTTGTTTTCGAAATCCCATGTTCCATTCGGAACCCAAGTGAATAATAAATAAAATAAAAATAATAATACTGCAAGGTAATTCAGTTGATAATATTGCAAAGCTCTACTGATTAGGATAACTGGAGCATGTGTTGCGTATGCCAACTCACTTCCTTTCTCTGACGGTAGTCAAAGCTAAATTACAATTCGGTTGGAAAAAATTTACGGCTTGTCAGGATAAAATATGACACCAATCCATTTAGTTTGTGACTGTCGCCTTCAAGTAAAGAATGCTTGGATTTTACTGCTGAGATATCAATAAACAATGACAAGAGAATGTTGGTTGCATAACCCGAAGTTGTCCTCAATGATGCACATGCTGCATTTAGTTCTTTGTCGTCTTTTCAATTCACCACCACCTCATAACTCGCCAGATGTTTATTTTCTCTTCGGCATATATCCTTTGATTATAGTTTCGTATCCTCTTTGTGTATGCCTTTATGAAATGGATGAGCTTCAGTTATCACCCATTTTTTGCAACGTTATATGTTTAAAATTCATTCAGTATAGATGGAAAGTATTTTGATATTTTTGAAATCAGTTTTTATTTTTCCAGAATTCATGATTATTATTAGTAGTATATTAAATATCCCCATACTAAAATTTAGAACAACGCATTTAAGCGAACAATATTGTTTTCAATTAGATCTTATCAGGCTTAACTCTAATATATATATATATATATGTATATATTTATATATATATATATATATATATATATATATATATATATATATAAGTTTACAAATAAAATTCAAATATAAACCAATCATGGTGTTTTGTCTATAGGATAATACGATGGTGAATATAAATTGTGCAATTAGTCATAATAGTAGTAATGATAATAGTAATAATAATAATAGTGGTTTTATCAGTAATAAGGATGAAAAAAGTGAGGCAGTCTGTGATAACACGAATAATGAAAAACAGCATGATTAAACAAACAAATGTTTAGGTAGAAGTAGTCGATAAAGGCTAAGAAAAACAAATAAACCGATTAAGTAATACTAGATTGTAAGGGAAGTAAATGAAACACGTTTATAATGAAGATGTGATAAGATTAAGGGATGATAAGAAAGGGGGTTGAAAATATAAATAAGGGGCGGTGTAGAAGTCATTTGTCGGTTATGTCTTAATAGGCCAAGGGAGGGATAACAACTGTACAAAATTTTTTTGAATGCATAGTTTAGGTTTAGTAGTTCGAATGCCTGTCGCCTCAGCTGTGTGCAGTAGACGAATACGAGGTCTATTGGAAAGATTCAGTGGGATACGATGAATTACTTTGAAAGCTCTCGTTTTCTCCACTACATGACCACTATCAATTAAATGTAACAGAACTGAGCTACGGATTGTTTTTGTCTGTCCTTTGTCAAACCACTATGGGAGATGTTCACTAACGCATTGGCTAAGCTGTCTAGTAGTACGCCCAACATAACCGTCACCGCAGGTGCAGTCGAATTGATAAATACACATAGATGTGACAAAACTATCTAGCTTATCCTTCGTTTGCGTCTCAATCATTCATCGGCTAGAGAATGACAAACATAAGTATACTGCGTAGAACTTTCTCCGTATACTCCTGGATAGTCTCTGGAACAAAGTCTCACTAGATAAGTCACCATTAAATTGTAATTTAATAAACAGAGGCTTTTTTCGTGCAGTCAGAGTCTCAGATTTTCTCTCTCAGGTTTTCATATGTTTCTTTATGAAAGTACTTGGACAGCCCATTAATATTAATCAAAATTTGCACTGCATTTTTCTTTAGATCGTACACCATTATCAAATTCCAGTGAAGTTTATTCACTCCATCATCGATTTGTTGAAATGTTAAAAAGTCACTGTTGTTCATCGAACCATCATGTTCACTTAACATCAACATCATCACAGAATTCTTCACTTAACATCGACGCTAATAACAACAACAATAATAATCATAATAATAGTAATAGTAATACTACTTCTGCTACTAATATTAATAATAATGTTAATAATACAAGTCACAATAATACTGCACACCACTCAAACAAAAGAATTAATAAATATCCAAGCAATAATGATAATTCAACGCATACAACCACATCATTATTACGCAATGATTCAACTTATTTTTCAAAAGTATTTCAACAAAAAGATATTATACACGAAATGACACGTAATCATTTAATTCAACCGCTTCAAAGATTATTCGATAATGATCAAACTTCATATGCCTGGTTAAAAGATATTCTAGAGGTGACAAAGTTATCAGACTGACATTTCATACATTATATATATATATATATATATATATATATATATATATGCATACATGTATATCAACAGAAATATTCACAAAAATAAATCCCCTTACTGACAAACACCAATTGTTGAATACACTGTTCCGTAATGGAGATAAAGGTGATACAGCTATTGATAATTGTTGTGTTTTTTCAAAATTTTCCATTCGATTCTTCCTTTTATCCAATCATTTTTCGCTATTATACTCCATAATCAAAAAGGAGTCTTTGAAGGCCTCCTGCGATCTAGTCTCGTTTGTTGCCCAACTTCTGATTACATTTGTTATTGCACAGGTGTAATATATACATATATATAAATACGTGAATATAGAAGGTAAACCTTTCTAAGTAACAACGCAGCAACAAAAGTGCTTTCCACAATATCCAGCCTAATTATAATGAGACGTAGGCAGAGAAAAAGAACTAATAAAGGGAACAACAGCCACTACGCATTTCAATTCACCATTTTCGGAGTCTCTGTTATTAAAATTGGCGGATATAATTTCGTTTAAAATTACTATTATTATTCCACAGTCACTTAACTATTTACCAATTAAATTAAAGTTTAACATTGTCAATTTGAATACAGTTTTCGTTATGATATCTTCTTCTGTTGATACTAACTACTCAAAATGAAAAAAATTAAAGATACCGCGAATTTTATTGATTTTAAACAGTCAGTCAGCCATTATGATTATGCAACGCTTTTATTTATTCTTATGGAATGTTAAAAGCTTGATTACATAACACAAAATACATATACACCTATATGTATACATCTTGTTTATACCATTTTCTTTTCTTCTGTACTTTTTAAAACAAAAACAACTGCAAAACACGAAAATATGTAACTTTTGATTTCAATCTTAAATATGCATTATAAAAGATAAGAACAAAAAACTTATGGTGAAAATTGAAAAAAAGGGTGTTTCTTCTCATTTGACTTTACAAGTTTTGGTTTTTACATAAATAAATTGCTTGAAAGTTACATCACAAGCTAACTGATATCAGTGAAAAATCATTAGAAATAATTATACAGTAGTGAAGAACTTTTTCCTTCTAGAAGTGAGTATAAATGACACCACTGGGGCTCGAAACCTTGAGTTAGCGATCAAACATTTCTGACTTGGGTTTCAAATGTGAATAAACACGGTTACAGCCCAAATTTTCAGTACAAGAGTGGACCGGATTCTACACTAATTGATGAATGTGAACTGTTGAGTATATAACATAACAGGCACCGAGTTTGGTAGATTTTTTAGTCAGTATCCATATTATATGTGCGTTGGTGGCACAGTGGTAGATGGCTCGCCGAACATGCATGTGTATCGGGATTCGATCCCCGGCCGACACACTGTTTGCCTTGCTAATCCAGCAATAAGACTGGTGAAGCTAAAAGGTTGGGCATGAGGCTGGCAACCCTACTCTGTAAAAATAAACACCACTGCTACGGAAACTTTAAACTTGTAGTTTGAATCTCTATGCTCCACTGGGAACGTAAATGAATAAAAAAGTAAATGGATTTGCTTGATAAAGTAAATCGTAATTCTTTGTAATTAACTGGACGACATTATAACCATATTTTATTGCTCACAATTATATCAGTGTATTCATTTGCACGACTGTCTAACCTGCCTAATAACCATTTGTAATTCCGCTTTCCGATGTACTTTTCTATTTGACTGAAACAGCTGTTGCATCATTTCTGTCATATGTATTTGGTGGTTACTCAATGTACAAACGTTCAGCAATTAACCTATCTTTCTCTAACCGATGATACTGATTGATTTCATTATTTCCACCCTTTCTCACTCTATCGTGAGATTACATGCAAGTGAATTTATTATAATAACTGAGAATTATTTCAGATCACTTAACTGTGATGGATCAATCATTTCAGATCTAGCTAAATTCTTCTGATAGCAGTGTATTTACAGTGACCTATGTGACTGAGCTCGTGGTCATTATATGATATTTGGTAAATTATATTATTTTTCTCGAATGAATTTATTAGATCCTTGAAACGACCAAGTTTGCCACCGAGTGAGTTGATCAGCTTAAACGCCACTCTAATTCCAGCCTTCCTGTTAATCAAATCCATATCGTTTCATGTTCTTTCTTCTTAAGGTTACACGGTCAATGCTTGGAAATCCTTCTTATTTATATCATTTTCATTCTCTAATATATGATTCTTTTTTCTGAACGAAAAAAGAACAAACATTGGTGCAGAATAATAAGGATGGATTTTATTTCCTCGGCTGCCATCACTTGCACACCATCTATAATCCTGAATAACTAAAAGTCAAACTGAAATTTAACATGATTTTGTCATCAACAAGCATGTCATAAGAGTGTCATCGTGAAGTAAAACCTCAGGACGAAAACGTAGCTGCAGTATACAAATATATATATATATATATCGTCAGAGAGAAGTTTCTAGAAGACTCATTGATATTTTGTTGTTAGAGTGGTAACAAAACTACTAACAGTTGAATAGCTAGATAAGAGAAGATCAAAGTTTGGTGTTTAAGAGGTCAGATGAAAAGGTGGTGATGCGATATGGTGAGCGGAACTCAGGTCAAGCAAAATTATCCCTAGTGAAATTCAAATAGAAGAAACGAGGCGAGAGGGGACCACAGAAAAGATAATTTGATGGAGTTTGAAGACCAAGAGTTATTAACAGATGAATCACTAGGGTAATTGGAGTCCAACGACGGATTTTCTTTGGACACATAGGTCAAGTCTCAGCCGTTTTATTGAGATAGCCTCAGCACACAGAAGAATACTTGAGCTGTCTTGTCTATAATTATTTTGAATGATGACACTGCGTCTCCTCAGTGTCCTGTGTCTCTCAGCTGTTTGGCAATTGAAGAGTTTAAATTATTGACCCCCCTTAACCGGAAGCTCCGAGGTATATGTTTGAATTATCTGGCGTAGGCCTTTTGTGCTCTTCCAATGTTAGATGTGAATTGGTATTTACAGTTGGAGATAACATACGAGAGGTACTTGTTGATCTTCGACTGCTCCATCGAAGAAGATGTAAGAAGCAGAGACACTAGTTTTGCTGCAGGATACGTCCTGGACAGGGCCGCACTAATTCTTTTATTTATGATTTTCGTAGTATCATCGCCTCTGAAGTCGAGTTTGATGAAAACTGACTTCTTACTGACAGCAGGTTGGTTAATCAGGTTTCTTACGTTTATTCTTCCCATATTTGTCAATGAAACTTTTTGGATAACCATTTTCTTTCAAGCAATTCTCAAGCAGCCTTAATTCACTTTCTAATTTATCAGGTAAACATACTCTTTTCGCACTGGAGAAGATCATTTTCACCAGCGTTCCTTTGTAACTAACTGGATAGAAGCTATTGAAGTTTAAGTAGAGACCACCGTACAGACAGGACAGCTCAAGTATTCTTCTGTGTGCTGAGGCTATCTCAATAAAACGGCTGAGACTTGACCTATGTGTCCAAAGAAAATCCGTCGCTGGACTCCAATTACCCTAGTGATTCATCTGTTAATAACTCTTGGTCTTCAAACTCCATCAAATTATCTTTTCTGTGGTCCCCTCTCGCCTCGTTTCTTCTATTTGAATTTCACTAGGGATAATTTTGCTTGACCTGAGTTCCGCTCACCATATCGCATCACCACCTTTTCATCTGACCTCTTAAACACCAAACTTTGATCTTCTCTTATCTAGCTATTCAACTGTTAGTAGTTTTGTTACCACTCTAACAACAAAATATCAATGAGTCTTCTAGAAACTTCTCTCTGACGATATATATATATATATATTTGTATACTGCAGCTACGTTTTCGTCCTGAGGTTTTACTTCACGATGACACTCTTATGACATGCTTGTTGATGACAAAATCATGTTAAATTTCAGTTTGACTTTTAGTTATTCAGGATTATAGATGGTGTGCAAGTGATGGCAGCCGAGGAAATAAAATCCATCCTTATTATTCAGCACCAATGTTTGTTCTTTCTTTGCTCAAATTTATAGGAGTGAACTCTTGTTTGATACTCAAATTTTCCTAACGCATTTATGAAAATTTGAAATGAAAATCAGATAGGAGTAAAACCGGTATATTGCAAGTTAGGCAGTAGCGTGAATGCACTGACATTACCATAAGCAGTAGATTGGTATTATGAATGCTTGATGACCGTGTGTTACATCTAATACACGTATACAAAATGGAATATCAATCTTTCTCACAAGCTTTCTAAGAATTGGTCAATCCTGACTAAATCTTTCAACTATCTGTTTTAAATTTAGAATGAATCAATCTAACTCGGCTCGGACTCGGATGGTGGAGTCCATGTTAGAGTAAAGCGGAAGCCACCGATGGAACTGGTTTGAAGTAACACTACATAGAGTACAGGCAGAGGCTAAAATTCACTGATGACTGAGAGGTTGGGGGCATGTCTCGTAACCTAAAGGTCATGGGTGTTATCCCCCGTGGGGTCATGGATACGCACTGCTGAAGTTAAATACATATATATTCTATATTAATAATTGGCAACCTCATTCAATAAAACATGAGATATTTCAAGAAGTTAGTGACTCATCTCCTCTAATTCATTTTGATGATACCTAAAATTGAAAACCATAATTGAATTAGGTTGAAAATTTGCAAGGAGTCTGATTTGCATGGCATTTAAGACAATGTTGCGTTGGTTAAAATGGAACCACATTTTGTAGCCCAAATTTTGGAGTTCTAGAATGAGACTGTTGGACTGTGCGTCGGTGGCACAGTGGTTAGGACTTTCACCGACCGTGCACATGTTCCGAGGTTCGATCCCCTGCCAACACACCTGATATCTATGGTTGGCCTGCAAAATTTGGGCTACCGATATCCATGCTGAAAATTCCATACTTGTACCAAAAATACAGTGTGGATTCAAGCTGTAATCAAAAATAAAAGAATACTGTGTCAGTTAAGCAATTTCAACGGACCAATGGATAGCCTTAAGTGTTAAACTGATGAATAATAACACCTTACCTTCTCTTAGTTAAACCTACCTGAAAATGGCAGTCCATCCATGTCAATCAACAACATTTTAATAATAGTAACTCAAAGGTAGTAGAAATCTACTATACTATACTATATCATGTTATATGTTGAAACGCATTACCTTCACTTCATTAGAGATTCTAGCGAAGTCATATCTTTGTTGTATTTTTGGAATTGTTTAGTTCGTACGAAATCTAACCTTCGAAATAGTGAATAATGATGCTTTTGTGTGGTCATTGAAGCAGACTTAATACATGCCAGCATTAACCAGTCATATTCTTATGTTTAAGTTATTTCTCGTCAAGTTCCATTATACATTTTGGTAAATGAATATAATCTTAGAGTTCAAATACTTTACTCATTAATGCATCACAGTGGTAACTTTGTAACAACAGAAGACAAGGGTCAGGCAACAGATCGTTTATTTAGGAAATCAACAGATATTTATAGATTTTCATGTAGATTATTATAGATTATTGAGAGCGAATGAACACAGTCATCTAATTTGTGGTTTCTTGCTGAACGTTAATCTTTCATCTCTTTGTAGCCGTTTTTCGAGGTTCAGATTATCTATCTGCAAATCGTATCCGCCTACTCAAAGTCTGCTGTGATTGGTTGTTGAATCAATCTTTGTTCTTATTCTTCTCACGACCAATATTGAGGACATAAACAATGACGTAAATTACTAATTTGGCTAGCAGCCAGCTCTCACTACAACTTATCCCTGTAAATATGAGCATTTTTGTAGGTAAATTTATTTGAAATATATATTCTATTTCAGGTTGAACTACAACCTGGCATCTGTTTGAGAACTATCGAAAACCAAGGAGTACTGTACAGTCGTTTCATTCTAATATTGGAATCTTTGGCTGTATGCACTCACAATAACGATATAGAATCCAACCATCCAAGATACGATGCAAGCCTTTTTGCCATTGAACCACTGTGGCGAAATCAAACTTTTTACGAATTCTAATTTCTCACTCCTGTAAATGATATCGGTTCTTGCTCTAACAATTAAAAATTCATTCTGTTTGTTTCATACTTTTGTCTGGCCCCCAAATCTTATGTTATGCATAACCTGAGTTCATGACCTAACTCCAGGGGGCGCGTCTGTTACAAGATCACACTCTACTAACTACTCAATTTCCTTCATTACTACAGTTTGCAACCAGCATGAGAAAACCGTTTCTTCACCAATTCACAGATTATAATATAATATTATTTTACACGTGCCTTGGGTGGTGCAGTGATGGAATGCTCACCAACGCACAACACAGCAATACAAAATCACTCAGCTGACCCAAAAACCACCCTGATCAAATCAGTTAATTAATATAATCTTCTGGAGAGTGTGTCTTTCGAGTACATGATATTTTCTCTAAGTGTTTCAAGTCAGGTCATGAGATGGAAGGCTAAACGGTAAGTAAGGTGACCTCATAATTTAAAGGCTTTGGGTTTGAACCTTGGTTTGATCATGGGTGTGTACTGATGAAAAGTCCCGAACTGGCGGTGCGCAGCCGCCCACTACTTCCTTGTTTTCAATGATTCTCAAACTGATTTCAGCAACTAATCTAACTTGGAGCCAATCAAGTCCCTGCAAATCAACAATCTGAATATTTCTGAGAATGAATTTAAACAGAAAAACCAGTGGAAGCTGGGATGACTGTACTTATTTATTTCCTGTCTATCATCGGTGAATGACCGCACAATTTTCTTTTGAAGGAATAGTAATCAGCACTTAATTATTAACTGCAAACATTTTCCGACATGATAAGGAGCTTGGGTGTCAACGATGGTGAGCACTGAATCAGCAACATATGGTTTGTTTGTATGAACTGTTCTCCATTTAACAGGAAATAATAATGGCGGCCGCTACCTAGCAGTAAGCTAGTTACTAGAAGACTGGAGAAAATGTTCTGCCTAGTAACTCTGTTCTGCTTCGTTGTTGGCGAAATAATAAACAATCCACGAATTTCCAATCCTTTTTCTGATTTTTTCGCATCGGTCACCGCACACATTCTAAGGCAATGATTAGTCTTCTAGGATCAGCGCTAGGTATGTGATTCTTTCCGATCTCGATATGTGACACAGGTGAAAACGCATATTGATTAGGATTCTGTTTTTGTGCAAGATGATTATCAAAAAACGATTATTATTTTGAAAAATAATAAAAACTCTTTTTCTCAATTCTACATCCGATGACATCAAATGAAAAAAAATCGGTGTAGATTCAATATCCTAAAGAGTAATCACCATGGGACAGCTGGTAAAGAAAAAGCCTCTGGATAATACGCTAACAATAAACCATCTAAAAAATATACTACTCAGCAGATATGTTGAAGGAACTGGAAATGGACTGGACAGTTGTTAAGGAGACATCCGATAGAGATGACACTTCAGACCATCTAATGAAACATTAACAGGAAGCGATGAGTCTAGGGCCTGAGAGTGAAATAGAGGTGATCATGTGCAGAGAAACTGAAAGGTTGCTAGCAATCATGCCGCCATTTGAAGTTATTAGCAAGGAATTGAATGAAATAGAGAAGTGACGCTAAAGCCCTATGTTCCACATGAAACGCGAAGAACGAATAATTAACGATAATAATGAATGGTATATTGATGCAAGCCACAGGCTTATGAATACACCAATAAAGAACAATTTTATAAACTTGAGAGATATGAACACCTCCAGAAAATGTTACGAAAATATTTTTCCTGTCTTATTCAAGTCTTTTGATTGGCTTGTCCGGATAGTAAAGTAAAATACATAGTCACGTCATCCTGGGGAGAATAAGAGATTCACTAAATTCAGAACTCTGCTATCCACTGGAACAAACTGGATTCAGGAAAGGCAAATCATGCGCTGATGGAATTACAACTCTATATATCATCATCGAAGAAAAGCACAGAATAGTGGTTAAACCTGTACCTTGAATTCATCGACTTAGAAAGGGCCTTTGAGAGTGTTGACCGGAAAGTAATTTGAAAACTACTTCAAGACTACGGCGTGCAGTGCTCCAAATCGTTATCAACATCATTCAGCAGCTGTCTTAATGGAAATGCCACGCGTCAGGTTATCTACAACGGAAACCTCAGTCAGGCGTTCGAAGTAAGTACAAGAGTAAGAAAAGCTAGCTGTACATTATCACCGATGATATTCTACATTGTGGTGGACTGGATTATGCGTCAGACTGTGCACTGGAAGTGAGAAGATAGGAATACACTGGACCAACAGTAAGAAGACTTTAGAAGATCTGGATTTTGCTTGTGGATGATTTATGTTTCATGTCATGCAAATTCAAAGACCTACAGGTGAAAACCAACAAACTCTCTGAAAAGGTTGACAGGTAGCAAAGACAGAACTC